TATCCTAACACCATTTTTGTGCCTCTGTTTTCAATCATGCTATTTTTGAGGTCATATGAATGCTAATACTAGGATCCCCCTATTCCTGGTAAAGGAGATAAAGTGGTTAAATGCCTCTTGTATCCTCCGTAGTGCCTAGCACCTTGCTTTGCTTGTTGGAAGCAATTAAATTGGACACTTAGAGCAAACAGTGAAACTATTTGTTTTTGAAATTCAAAATTGTGTACTTTTGTAAAAGTCCTTAAAAATTATATTGCTGTGTACATCAGTGAAATTACTTAAATAAAAAAAAAAAAAAACTTCTGACAGCAGTTAGGAAAAAAATATTTTTCCTTGTAGTAGCTCTTACTGTTTTATTATGGATACTAGTATGATTTCTTTGATTACCACCCTTATTCTTTTTAAAAATTTTTTTAGTTGGGCACAATATATTTAATTTATTCATTTTTATGTGGTGCTGAGGATTGAACCCAGGGCTTCACACATGCTAGGCGACTGCTCTACTTCTGAGCCACAACCTCAGTCCCCCACCCTATTCTTAAAGCTAGTGAAAAATAATATTGTTAATAATATTGTTATTCTAGCAAATAATATTGTTAATCTAGCAAATACCAGTAAAATTTATATCATTCATGAATCTCGCCATTAGTAAATACTTGGAAAGTTTAAAATATTAACAAAACACAGGAAGAAACTTGCTTTGTAATAAAGAAATCTAAAAGTAGTAATGTAGTATGAGAGTGACAGTATTTACCACATTTATATTGAATATACAAATAATTGAAAGTTGGCTACGTTAAGAACTTTCAGAGTATGAAGTAGAAGAGTTCCTTCCAGTCATGTATAAATTTCTGTTCTTTAACATTTTACAAGCATTCATTATCCTGTGTTGCCATTATTCACAATGTATGAAAATTGATATAAACATATATGCTATATTCTATAAGTAGCAAAACATTACAATACTCTTTTCAACTTTTTAAATCAAGAATTCTTAGGGAGAGGGGAAGGGATGTGGACCTGTTTTCAAACTGTGTCAGATTGGAAGAGATGGCCTCTATACTCCATGACTTGACTCACATTAAGATTCACTTCTATAGTAAGTCATTTTAATTGTTAGGTTGGTGTCATACCACCCTGGAGTGATAAAGTGAATAACTTTTTGAGATCTTCTAGAATTATTTAATAGCATTCCTTGAAAAAATAAGATTTGCATAGCTAGCAGAACTTGTGAAGGTGACAAAACCCTGTACCACATAATTAACACAGGACTCAAATGTAAATGTAAGTAGAAACAAATACTCTTTTGAAAGATCATGGTAAATGTTGCATATTTGTTTGGGGCTGGGGTTATAGCCCAATGGTGGAGTACTTGCCTAGCGCATATGAGGTACTAGGTTTGATCCTTAGCACCACATAAAAATAAATAAAATATAAAGATATCAAGTCAATCTGTAACTAAATTTTTCTTCTTAAAAAGATGGCATATTTGTGTTTTAAACTGACTTCATATGTGAAACAGGCAACATGTTTTAGAAGCCAGGTCCAGAAAGGTACTTAACAGGCATCCAGTGTCTCTCAGTTATTTTAAAACGGCAGAAACCCCCCCTTTTAAATTTCTTATTACGAAACCAATATAAGTCATTTAATCAGGAAAAACAACCTTCCCTGTGGTCTGTTAAAAGAGGCATCTCAGTGGAATGTGATGTGAAATGAACATCATTGATCTAATCAAACACAATCATATTACAGGTAAAAATTACTATAGATAAGATAGGTTTAAGTGACTTTGTCTTGGTTAGTAATTGCCCTGGTTGCAGTTTTCTGCAGATACTGATATTGATTATTCTAGCTTTTAGGTGAATGTTAAAGCATTGTATGTTTCTAGAAGGACATATCTCTTGGAATTATGGTAACTCTTTGAACTTTTCTTTCTTTATGATTTTTTTTTCTTTTTTTTAATGCTGGGGATGAAACACAGGACCTTGGGTATGCTAGCCAAGCATTCTACCACTAAGATATCTCCCAACCCCTGTTGTACTTTCTAATGATGTTCTCTGTATAATGAGCACACGTTTTATGTTATTAATGCCCCATTTTATGTTTTTAATACATGGTTTATATTTTTCAGTGCAACATTATGATAAGTATGAAGTACTGTATTTTAGTGCCTGGTGATGGATCTATATTTTCACTATTGTCTTCAGTTTTGAGTCTTTTTAAGGAGAAATTACTCAGTTTTCAGTATTCCACATCATCATTGGTTTTATGACTCTTCTAGTTTTAGTAAACTTTAGAATAAAAGTCTTTATAATTCATTTTAGGTAATTAGTTTTTCATCTTACCTCAACATTTTATTAGAATTCACTGAGATTTTGCTCTAGGCACTGAAACTTAAAGTGTTAAAATGTTTCTGTTAATGGTTAAAGTTGTTTTGGAAGGTAGGATGTATGGTTACGGTGCATGTTATTATGTCCTTCAGCTTTGCAACTATCCTAAGGCTGCAGGTGCAGGGTCAGCTTCAGTCTATGGATACGCTTGGATGTGAAAACTCAAGAGCAAAGACTGGGAACCTATAGTTCCAGGTCATGCTCATGCCTGCTGTCCTCCCTCTACTTTCATCCTTCTTGCTAACCCTCATTCTCTTCCCTTTACCAGTAGTTTGTTTTGAGGATGTGGGTCTTATAGCTTGGGCTTTAATTTATCAGTGGACAAGATTTTATTATGCCATAAAAAATAAAAATTTTCTTTTGATTTAATAATTTCACTTTAATGTTTGCTAAGCACCTAATTTTGAAAATGCAAGAAAAGCTATATTCACAGAAGTGAAGAATGTAGTATGCAAATTTGAACTGTTGCAGAGTAGTTCATAGAGTTGATACGCTTAAATTACTTAATTCTGTCATTGACATTCAAGTTTCTTTTATGAACAAATCATGTGGCATCATAGTTTAATGATTATGATAATAACAAAGCAGGGCCCAACTTGAATCATAATTACTGAAAGTTTTAAAAAAATTAATCCTTTATTTTCATGAATAGTTCTTTTTGAGTTTTAGCTTGTATGTTGATTCATGTAACCACAATCACACTGAATATGGATCATTTCCTTCATCTCACTTCCCTGTGATATCTTTCCATTGTTCCTGGCAGCTTCTGCTCTATTCTTTGTCATAAAAGTTTTGTATTTTCCAGAACATCATATAAGTAGAATCATAGTTTTTTAACCGTTAGAGACTGGCTTCTTTCATTCAGCGTAATTACCTTGAGATTAAGTTGTATCACTAGTTTGTTTCTTTTTATGGCTAAATGACATTCTGTTGTATGAACGTACCCACAGTTTTCTTATCATTTTTTATATATGTAGCTTTTTGTGATTGTGGATAGATCTGATATAAATATTTGTTTACATGTTATTGTGTGAATATAAGTTGTTTATATAAATATTTGTTTACATGTTTTTGTGTGAATATAAGTTGTTTCTACAGAGTAAATACATAGAAGTAGAATGTTGGGTCATAGGTTAAGTGTATATATTTAATTTCATAAGAACTGTCAAACTTTTCTCATAAGACTGTACCAATTTGTGCTTACATCAGCAACACAGGGTTTTTTGTTTTTTTTTTTTTGCTTCAAATCATTGCCAACACTTCATGTTGTTTAGCTTACTTTATTGTAGCCTTTCTAATGGGTGTATAGTAGTGTCTCATCATGTTTTTAATTTGCATTTTCCTGATGGCTAATGTTTTTGAACCATCTGTTCGTGTACAAAATTGCCTTTTTCTATGTCCTCTTTGGTAAAGTGTCTGTTAAAATCTTTTACCCATTTTTAATTGTTTTCTTTTTTTACTGAGTTTTAAGACTTAAAAATACTCTGAATACAAGTGAGTTGATTTTTCACCCAGTCTGTAGCTTCTCTTTTTTAGTATGCACATTGTCTGTTGAACAAAAGATTGTAGTTTTGATGAAGTCCAATTTATCCCATCTGTAGCTTTACTTTTTCTGTGTCGACAGTGTCTGTAGACCAAAAGTTTTTGATTTTTGATAGTCTATGTCACCAGTTTATTTTACAAATCATGCTTTTCTAGTCAGGTTGCTTAAAATTTTTAGATGATTTGTTTTTTTCACTATAACATAACCATTGTCTTTGAATTGATATGGTGCTTTGAAAATATGATACAACTATGTATTATTCTCCTAAAGCAAATTTTAGTGGATGAATGTTATCAATGGCTTTAAAAAATCAGGAATCAGCATTGCATAGTATAGTAGTTAATGATGTGTACTGTTAAGAGAAATGAAATGTAGGATAAAGAAGTATATAAGGGTTATTTGAAAAAGAGCATCCAGGGATGAGACCATCCTGAGAGATAGCCATGCAAATTGAGGCAGAAAAAAATGTCAAACCACACAGTTGCTGTTTGTAGTTTATGTTTACTGATTGTTTACTGAATGCTAGAACTGTGCTGAATACATTACTAGCATCAATTAAATCCATATAACAATCCTACAAAAAGGATACTATTTTATATATAAGGAAAACAAGGTCCAGGGATTAAATAATTTATCCAAAATTACACAACTTGTCAAAGCTAAAATTAGAAGTCAGATGGTTTGATTCCAAAATCAGTACTCTTAGCTATTATTCAGAGGTGGCGGATGAGAAAGTATAGTAGGAAATTTAGTTGGAACCAGCTCTAAGGCCTTGTATTGTAGTTCATGATAAGAATTTAGGATTTTATTCTGACCATGTAAGCCTTTGTGAATTGAGAAATTCCCAGAGGTTGCTTCTGGAAGTCAAGAGAGAAAGTGGGAGTCTACATACACACTTGATAATCATCTCTGTATAAGTGATAGTATAAAATATTTCTACTGGCCTATAACATATTTCTTTGGTTTAAAATTAAGAATTATATTCCATTATTAACAAATATATGTGCATGTTTATGAGAATCTGTGTGTGTGTACATAAACAAACTGATGAACTATTCTGTTAATAGGTGCGAGAAGATGTACTAAATTCATTGAATAACAACTTTCTTCAAACACTAAATCAAGCTTGGAATGATCATCAAACAGCTATGGTGATGATTAGAGACATACTAATGTATATGGTAAGGACAGCTTTTTTGTTATTCTTTAAGAAAACATTTCAGAACAGTGATTTTGTTAAATTTTAGTTTGAATGGTACATCTCAGTGTAGAAGCTGTTTTTTGTTTTTGTTGTTTCTTAATTAGTATTTCTTTTCTTAATTAGGTCCAACCTTAGCCTGTGTGAGTGAAAAATCTTAAATTTTCACATAGTTACTGAATTGTTAAAATGGAAAACTGAAGGAGAATGACTTAAACGTTTTTTCATAATATTTAGCACTTGTGAAAAACAAAGCAAAAAATGTAACATCTCTTAAGAATGGTTAAATGATGAATATTCTTCTATAAGTTTTTAAAACCCAAGTATATGTCTTCAGTGACACAAATGTCATATTAATGTAAATATTTTTCAGAATAAATCTAGATTCTTTTAGTTTAATTATTATATTACTGCAGAATTAATAACTCCAATAACTTTTCTCATTATTCAGTGTTTATATTTGAGATTTGAACACAATGACGTTCTTATAAGGTTTTACTCTCTTTTTATTTTCAGTTTGATTTTTAGTTGCAATGTAGAAATAAGTGCTTGTTCTAGTTTCTTTTACTTAATAAAATAATGCAGTGTTTTGGAAAGAATTTCTAATGAGAATCAGTAGCTGTGACATTTTTTGGTCTGCTGAGTGAATTCAGTCAAGCCATTTACCAGTAAGGGCTTAGTGGCAAGGGGTCAGTGAGAGGCCACTGTATTTTTCAGGAATGTAATAAAAGGTATAACAAATTACCTAGCTTTTCTGAGGATTTCTTTGCTTGTCAAGTTATGGTTTCACTTTGTTATCATTTCGAGGATAATTGAGATAGCATGTGAAAACATACTGGCATATAAATGTGAAATAAATAAGTTGACTCGCTGCTGTTTTCATCTTGAAATTTTTGATTTGGTAAGTCTTTAAATTCCATATCAACCATCAAACACTAAGATAAACTATTTGTGATTTCATGGTCTATTGCTCTATTGATATTGATGAAGAATTTTAAGATTTTTATTATATATATTCATGTTTTTAAAAATCTCTTTTCAGTTCCTTTTTGTGCAGTGAAACCTCAAAACCTTAAGTCTGGTTCTACCTCTTTTTGACCATGGTTAAGCAATTAATTAGTTTATGCCTCAGCTTTCTCATTTATAAAATGAAAAAAAATGTGCCAATTGGGGATAGGGTAATGATGGGTCTTAAAGAAGCCATTCATATTAACACTTTAAAGGATTGGCCTATGGTAACAAGCTCAATACAAATTAACTAATGGCACTATTTTTTGTTCCATCATTTTTTTTTAATCAAACCATTGTGGTAATTCCATAGCACTGGATAAACCTAGTGACTTGCCTATGTCTCTTCTGGAATATAGGCCAGTGCTACTGTTGGCCCATTGTACAGATCTGCAGTGAACCCTCCACACTGCCCAGCAGTTTCACATTTTCTCTGGTTACCTTGCTATACCAGTTATTTTTCTGCAAACCTCTAGCTCCCCTCAATGATCTTGCCTTCTGCCTCTAAGAGAAAACAGAGTTCTTTATTTCCTGACACTAAATCTACAACTTTACATGTATTTTCTCCCCTCTTGTGTTTCTCTTTTTCTTCCTGTGTTAGTACAGGATGTTTTCTCCTTTCTTGTCAAAGGTCAGTTGTTTACCTGTTTTTGTGTCATTTGGAATCTTTTAAGTATTTGGGGGTTCTGTCTTTTTTACTGGATCTTATTCATCAGCATTGGACATGATCAAGCCATTCATACCCTCAGAATAAAATTCCACTTAATTTTCAGATGAACTGCCATCTCCCAAGGACATTCATCTATCATTCACAGCTTAATGTTTCATGACAAATGTTGACACTTGGCTATCTTTCTTTTCTCATCTTTCATTCACTTTGTATATGTTCCAGTTAAGCATCTACCTCAAATATTCTATTCAGTTTTGCCCTTACTAAGATCACCATGAAATCTGTACATCTCTGAATGCAAATATCACTACTAATCTTCATTCTTGATTTTTTTTTCCCCCAATAGCATTTGACAAAATTGATCATATTTTTCTTCTCCATGAGGGTTTCTTGATTACTGTGACAAAACACTCGGAATGCTTCTTACCTTCTGCCTATTTCTTCTTCTCTGCTGCTGCTTCTTATTCATCCATTCCTTAAACAGCTGGATTCTTTTTTTTTTAAGTTGTAAGTGGACACAATACCTTTATTTTATTTATTTATATGTGGTGCTAAGGATCGAATCCAGGCCCTAGCCCCAGCCTCTAAACAGCTGGATTCTTCAGATTTAATCCTAGATTTTCTTCTCACATTGCACAGTCTTCACCTCATTCGATACTGTAGATCCTTATGCCTCTGCAGATGATTCCCAAATTATTTTTATAGTATCACTTTCTGAGATTCAGATTCATAAGTTCATCTATCTAGTTGATAATTCCCTTCATTGTTTTCTAGGTTACTTTGGACTTGGCATGTCCAAATCATAATTACTGTCATTTCAATTGTTCATTGCAGAACCCAGGAATTATTTTCTTATCAGTTACTTCAGCCTCTATATCTATATCATCTCTTGCTAGGATCTACAATTTTTCCTTGGTTTCATAAGTCTATTAGCTAAGACCAATTCACCTTCATTTCTGTCTTGTTGGAGTTTTCAGTATAAATAGTCTTAACATTCATTGGACTCTATAGTTTTCCATATTTATCTCAGTTATTTTTATTATTTTAAGATTTTTTTCTTGCAGATGGACATGGCACACTTATTTATTTATTTGTTTGTTTGTTTGTTTGTTTTATGTGATGCCAAGGATAGAACTCAGTGCCTCACACATGCCAGGCAAGCACTCTACCACTGAGCCACAACCCTAGCACCCCAGTTATTATTTAAAAGCACAAATGTGATCATGTAACTACCCTGCTTAAATCCTTGTTTGCCCTGCTTAAATCTTATTTCTCATCTTGGAATCCTCACACATGTCATTTGTTTTTAAATCTTCCTAAAATGTTTTCCTTTCTTCATCTCACTTGCTCGCTTTTGTCCTATAAATCTTAAATTTCTTGTCAGCTTTCACTGACCACAGACTCCTCACTGACTGCACTAGCTTTCATTGTGCCTGGTACTATTCCTTTTCAGCATTTGTAACAATTGTTAAAGTTGTTCCCTCTCCCCCTTTATCACTACTCTTGCAGTTTGGGGCCATTAAGTAAAATAAGGATTACTGGAACACAAGCACTGTAGTAATGTGACCTCTTGATCTCATAACCGAGGCAACTACTAATGATGGGATTGGGTGGGATTAACACAGCATTGAAATGCTGGACAAAGGGTTGATTCATATAAGGCATGTCAGGGTGGGACTGTATAAGACTTCATCTTTCTACTTAGAACAGTATATAATTTTAAACTTATGAATTGTTTATTTCTGACATTTTCTGTTATTTTTGGACCATAATTGTAGCACAGCTCCTTGTAGGAACTATCTTGTGTGAATTGATACAGGTGTTATATATATTGTGTATGTGTGTGGGTTTTTTTTTTTTTCAGTAAACCATACTGTTTCAGAATGGTTGTGTAAACGCTATTGTAGATTCAGAAAGAAAACAAATTGATATCTTCACATTCCATAAGATAAAATTTAAAAAATTTTATATCCTCAGTTCTCTTATTTTGCCTTTTTAATGTATATTGTTTTGATCTTAATTATGATATATCCAAAAGTCAATCTTTCAACCAAAGGAAAAATTTATATACATTGGAATTAACTAAGGTGTACAAAATGATTTTTGAAAAATGTGTACACTTCTGTAACCAGTACCTCAGTCAAGATAAGTAACATGGCTTTTCGTTTCCAAAAAATATTTTTCTGTTGGTGTTTGCATTATTTTCTTTGAAGATTTTTACCTCATACTAAACATCTCAGGTCATGTTTCCTAGCCAAGTATTTCAAGTTATATCCACGTAGAACCCATATCATTTTCTTCTGTGAATCCCCTGCTCTACCTTTTGGAATTTTAGATCTCAAGCTGAGAGGAGGAGAAGAAGAAGGTGATTTTACTATTTATCTCCCTGTTACCCACTCAGCTGACTTTTTTACTCTTACCAAGGAGGTGTATCTAAAATGTCATGCATGAACCTCAGTGTATGTATCAATCTACCAATGGATATATTAACTCTGGGAATTAAATGGAAGCAGGCATGGGTCAGAATTTATCCCATGTGACTTTGTTATTTGGCAACCTCATTATTTTCAGAAAGAAAAATATACACGTCTCTGGATGGAACATGTGACCTAGTTTCTGCCACTCTACCCTTCCTAATGTTTGAGACTTGAACCACTCACTTGTTTAGACCCTGAAGGCATTAAGTTTGTAATCTCTGCTTTACTTAATTTAAAGGAAAAAAAATCATTGATTTCTTAAAGAAATGATTACATGTTCAGCTTTTAAGATAGTTTGGGGGCTGGGGTTGTGGCACAGTGGTAAAGCTCTTGTCTTGCATGAGTGAGGCACTGGGTTCAATCCTCAGCACCACATAAAAGTAAGTAAATAAATAAATAAATCTGTAAAAAAAAAAAGATAATTTGGGTTTAGTTATTAAAAGTTTCATTGTCAGTTTTAATTTTTCAAAATACTAATGATTAGGAAAAGATTTTTGAGTATTTTGTAGAGACAGTGTCATAATAACATTAGTTATTGATATAATTTGTATTTATTTATTTTACCCTTAAATTGTGAAAATGAATACAATATTAAAGGAAAATTAAGTTTATGGATAGTACTCTGTAGGCCAACTTGAGCAACTAGAATTAATGCCAAAGGAGAAGAAATATAATTTTTTATCTTGGCATATAGGGTTAATAAAAGACTTAATAGAGACATTTTCTACATAAGATTTTCTTGTGAATTTCAAAGTTGTTTTGTGTGTGTGCTTTTACTTGACTTTATATTTCCAGTATTTTTACAAACAACAAAAGTAGGAGTGGTAC